GGAAAGATTGGTCGATTGGTCATATTGTATGTTAAAATCCTCTGGTGATGTGATTCCTCTGATATGAATGGCAACTGTAGGGTCGAGTTTATAATTATATTACAATTAATACATTTAGGTCTAATATTTAATATTGATAGCGTCTTTGATTATTGGGAATTGCAACTACAGACTCGAATTTAGTATACAGATATTCCAAAATAGCAAACACAATTATGTTTTTGTGCGGTTTTTGTTCTTTTTATGTTTTGTATGTATTTAGTTCTTCGGTTAGTCCGGTTTTAAATAGGAATATTTGACGGAACCGATTACCCAGATTTATATCGAGTGCATCCACACTTGCATTAGTCTCATTATAGAAATGTATGATTACAGTTTTTTTGTATTGCTGGAACATCAGTTTTGGTACATGGGAATCCAAAGTTATTCCACTTTGAAATCCAAATATAGAATATATTTAAAAAATAAGTATTTACTATAGATGGGTTACTTTAACCCGAATTACACTCTAAGTACCTCTTCCCGCGGCTACTTTGGTACTAATGAATTAAATTACAATAGAATGGTCCATCCATAATTTACGAGTTAAGATAGTATATAAAATCTTTTTTCATAATAATTTTACATGATGGTAATGATGAATTAATAGTGTAAATTAAATAATTTAATTTACTTATTTCAAATATCATTTGTTGCTTTTGTATTTGTTTGGGAATGACTTAGTCTGTTGAGAATCGAAGGCGTTTAAATAATTCAATAAACCGATAGACGAAAGTAATAAATCCCAAACGGGTTTTCGCGTCAAAGTTTTCTTCGGGGCGAGGGATATGAAAAGTCGCTGCCACTTTATGAACGCCAACTTGCCTCATCCTTCCACTCTTTCTCGACTCTCACCTCCACTACACCCCCGTTCGTCTTTCTCATCGGACGACGTCTCCAACGCCCCAATTTATCCGCCCCGTTTTATATTAAAAGCTTTCATCCTAACTAGATTACAACTAGAAAGAGGAAGAAACGTATTTATACGGGGCCTATAAAATATAGATGTCGACAATTTAATCTTTGCAAAATTCTACTTCCGTAGTGATTAGGGACATATAAAATAAAAAGAGTAAATATCTATATAATAAAAACTAAGTTTGAGTTTCCTTTTTAAATGTCCGACTAATTTAATTGTGACGACCGTTTTCTCGAATCCATTATAAAATGATGGGAACATTTTTTTAATTCCATAGAGCCGTAAATTGGCAACATTTATTTTAGTTAATTCAAATCTTTAAATGGAAATTTAACTCTGTGGAATAATCAAATTTAGATGAGGCAACGAAAGTTATGAGGAACCGACAACAAAAGCTAGGAATTAGGAAGTCATCAAGTGCTACCAATTATAAATTATTTCTTCTTGCCTCGTGAAAGTAACATACAAACAAAAATGAAAGGAAATATGTGGAAATACGAATCAGTAAATGAAAGGTATAAAGAAATGAATTGAAGAAGAAAAAACAAAGCATTTTTTGAAAGGTTTTTTTTTTGTGTCATTGTGAAGTGGAAAGCCGTGAAAATTGGAATTGAAATAACATAATTAATAATTCAGCGGAAGCTTTTAGAGCGGCAAGGCACAAAAAAATAGAGAGAGGCGTAATTAATTTCCATTTGTCGCAAACAACTGTCGAATGAATGGAACTTTTCTAATTTCTCCGCTTGTCCCGAGATCCGTTTAAATTATGGCCGCAGAATTAATTTCCAAGGGGGAGGATTTTCTTACCTCTCCATTCAACGTTTCGGTTATTTCAAAATAAAATGACTATCAGTGAATTACATGAACATTTGATCATGAAATAGTTCTGTTCGAAATTGCTACCGCGTTTGCTCGAAGTGGACCAAAAACAACAACGAGTTGATTCCGAGCGCAGTTTTGAGCTATTCAAGCGAAATAAAAACGATTTTTTCATGCGGTATGTAACAATGGATGAAATCTGAATCCAGTACTACAAGCCAGAGTTAAATTGGTCATCAGCTGAGTGGACAGTAAAGGGGGAAAACCGTTCAATGCAGCCAAAAACGCAAATGTCAGCTGGTAAGGATTTGGCCTCTATATGCGCACGGAATTTCATTCATTGATTACCTTGAGAAAGGAATATTATATGGTATTATTGGTGCGTTGCGAAAAAACGATCACAAATGACGAAGATAAAAGTACTCTTTCATCAAGACAATGCACCGTGTCACAAGTCGATCAAAACGATGGCAAAAATACACGAATTGCATTTTGAATTGCTTTCCCATTCATAGTATTTTCCAGATCTGGGTCCCAGCGGCTACTACCTGTTTGCAGACCTAAAAATAATGCTCAAGGGAAAGAGATTTGGCTCAAATGAAGAAGTGATTGCCGAAACAGAAGCGTATTTTGAGGCCATCGTTCTATAAGAGAGGTAACGAAATGTTAGAGAAGCATTGGAATAAATGTATTACTCATGAAGGGGACTATGTTGATGAATAAAGTCAAATATCACCTAAAAGTTGTTGTTTATTAGTCATACTACGAACTTATTGACTGAGGTATTATATGGAGAGGAGTAAATTATATAGAAGATCTAAATTACTGATTCTTTTTCCAGTTCCTTCAAAAATATTAAATTATTTTTTTTTAGTATTTTATATTGATCCCGTTTTATAGGAGTTTTATAGGAGATTTTGCATTTCCATTAAGGCTGCATTGCGTTCAGACTAGTGCATGAAAATGTTTCCGAGTTTCTAAATTGATAAAGTTCATATTTTAGATATTTTTTGTTATCATTTTTAAATTTAGGGGCGACTAATAGTCGAATGGTTAAGTCGCCCTACCTCTCGGTGCTTGCAGCAATAGGGCTATCGTTCATCACAGATGGACAGTGAAATTAAGGAGGTTCAGCATATGGACGTTCAGCCAAGTCGTTGGACAATGACAGTGTTAAGGATAGCAGCAGATTCACAGTGAAAGGAAATAGTGGAATCGTAGAGCATAAATATACTACTGCAGTTATCCCACCAGAGGACAGCCAATCTACAATTAAAAATTAAAAATCATCATAATGTCAACCGCGATCTTAAATTTACTCAATATTCACATTGATGAACAGATTGTGAATAAAATTACACGACATTAAAAAAATATTTAAATTTCTCGAGTCTCGAATGATAATTCCCGGGTAAGGAGACTATATATTTTTCCAAAATTTTAGGGCATTCCCGGTTCAGAAAACCTACTTCGATCAATGAAAAGAAACCCATCTACTTACACAATTGAATGAATTAACTCCTACAATGGTGGTCCAGGTGGCATCACCCCCATTCGAAGAGAGATGCATATTGAACGGGAGGCATTGTTTTAGATACATTTTGTTCAATTTTGTTAATCGCTTTTGGTTATTTAATCTAAACAGAATCAATAGATTAATCAGTTTAAGTATTGTTTTCTTTTATAAAATTAGTTTTATTTTGTTAATTGGGGACAGCAATTGGTCATTGTAAATATTAATCGCAATGCAAATTAAATATGTTTCGAGTCTAATTTTCGAGATTGTAAATTCGAGTATTTCTACTTGAATTAGACATGTCTTTGGATGAGAAAATTGTCCTTCTTTATTTTGGAGGACGAGGAGAGGATATTTTTCATGTCTGAAACTCGACCCGAGTGTTTTGCTCGCCGCTGAAATATTGCGGCGGCGGCGAAAGATGTTCGCGAAGAAAAATGATATCTGTAACCCAGATTTTTGTTCGTTTGCGGAGAAATATGCCCAAATTGTACAGGAATTACTTTCCTCCCTCATACCAAAACCCTCCATCAGAATGATACAATTTATATGTATATATATATATGTATATGTGTATGCTGCTGTTGCGTCGACACTTATTTATTATCTCCACTTGCTCAAGCGCGGTACGAAAATTTGAATAGATACGCTTTTTCAAATTAATAGATTTCTCTTATTTTCCCTTTACTTTCTTCCTCCCTTCCTTCCTTGTATGCCGTACGATTCTATTCATCCATCCCGACGTCTTCAAGATTTTATTATAAATTTCGTTGCCTTTCTCTCATTCATTCCGACGCCAAATACGCTGCATCCGAAGAATGGGGAAAACTGGATGTACGGGAAAAGCAATACCTACTCGGATTTTCACATCTAAATTGAATTTGTCATGCGGAATTTATTAACTCTGCGAAAAAGTGTACACCTTTCTTTCATCTCCCCAATCTCCTCGTTTGATAGTCATCACTATAATAATATATCATTGATGAAAGGTAGAAATATATATGTTCTGAATTCAGGTTTTTAAATCTTTTGTCATTATTTTTGTCTATTAATTATATTTTTTCAAAACTAAGATACTTTAATTTGAATATTGAGAACTGAAAATCTTAAAATTCTTCAAAATTGCAGTTATGTTCGAAGTTTATTTACAAATTTGCACTTTTATTTTATTTCTATTGTTGAAATAATTGAACAATATAATATGCTAATATTATATAAGAGATATATGAAATTTATTTGTTCATATTTTTTTTTGTAAAAATGTATTTAGATTTTTTTCAATTTCAGAATTATTAAAAATAATAGTTAAGGTTTACTTAATTTTCTATTTTTATATTTATTGACGAGTTTTATTTTGCTAGAAAATTAATATAAAGAATAACACCAAAAGTATAGTTGTTTTGATAATATGTTTGATAATTATTGAGTTTGAGTAATCGAAATCAGGATACAATTATTTATAAACGCAATTTTTGGTAAATAATTTATATTTTTTTAAATAAAAAAAGAAATATAAATAGATATTAGATTAGATATTATAAAATTGATTTCAGGAAGTAAATGTAACAGAAAATTTGCAATCTCCAGACGAAAATAAAAATAATTAATTGAAACAACAAATTTGTGATAAGATATTAGTGATTAAGCAATGAAAATAAACCCTGTAGGTGTATATAAGCTCATCGCAATTCAGAAATATACATCATAAAGTATCGAAATGAAATCGGCTTTAGTTTTTGGTTTACTATTCTTGGGTGCGACTCATTGCGCCCAATTTAGGGTCAAAAACGTGATGGGTGGCGACATCTGGATCGGAATTTTGACCAGCAACAATTTACCATCATTGGAAGGCGGCGGATTCGTTTTGGGACCGCAGCAGGAAGTAAGATTTTTATTTTGTAAAATGGAATTGCTTTTTTTTTCTCATTTGGAAAATATGAATTGTAGAGAGCTATTAACGCTCCGGATGATTGGGAAGGAAGATTTTGGGCGAGGACCTGGTGCAATTCGGGAAGTCAACATTGTGAGACCGGAGATTGCGGTAACAAGGTGCAATGCAATGGAGCAGGAGGCGTTCCTCCTGCTTCCTTAGCGGAGTTCAATCTGAAGGCTTGGAACGATGGAAAAGATTACTACGATATTTCTTTAGTCGATGGTTATAACGTGGGCGTTAAAGTAATTATAGTTTCAATTACGTTGAAGACCAGCTAAAATTGTTAATTTGTAGATCGAACCTCTTGGTGGTAGCGGAGACTGCAACGTCCTGCATTGTTCCAACAATCTGAATGATAATTGCCCGAACGAGTTGAGGAAGTACGGAAGCGGCGGTACCATTGCTTGCGAAAGTTCTTGCAACAAGTTTGACAAGGACGAGTACTGCTGCAGGAACGAATTCAATGATCCGAAAATATGCAATCCCAATACTTGGGCTGTGAATTCTGCAAAGTATTTCAAAGATAACTGTCCTGATGCTTACAGCTATGCTTACGACGACCACAGTAGTCTGAAGACGTGCATGGCTGGAACCTATCGTATCACGTTTGGTTAAGAAACAGATAACACAAATGTGATACATAAATACAAATAAAAGGATTGACTGCAACAGAATTTAGAAATACTATCAAACATTATTTTCATCATTTTAAAATATACTTAATATTTGTTAACATATTATAAATATTTCAAATTTCGAGAGTAAACTAATAAAATTTTATGAAAATCAATTGAATATTTAAGTTTTTTTTTTCATTCTGAATTATTTAAAGTTAAAACTATTTAATCAATGAAAATTAACTTGTATTTCGATTTTAATATTTCTTAAGTGTACGAAGACCAAATAATGATTTATGTGGCAATAAATAAACTTTGTATAATATAATAATAACATAAAATTATGGAACTAAACTGTAAAGTGGAATGCATATTAATTGGACTTGTATAAGTTTATTGGCGGCGCGAAGTATTTGAACAGCTTTTATTGTGGCACTTTGATTAATGTAAACGATGAAAAATGAAGTGGCTCCCGAGTATCGATTTATTTTCGTTCCATATTTTCATACCACTTTTATTAATGTTATATGCATATTGAGGATACGCCGTCTCTAAAATATAAATTTGTTTAATTTATATTCTGGCTTATTGAATATTAATTATCCGTTAGTATTGGCCCCATTAACACCGTTTCAATAAACAGTGAAACACGTTGGTTTGTAATTAATGCTGTTAATATTGCTGAATTGGCTTTCGTCGATTGCTTTCAAATGTTATGATTGAGACACGATGAAATACCTTCAGTAGAGATAATGAATGAGTATTGATTGTGGGAACTAATAAAGAAACGGTGATCAACAAGTCCTCATTAGAGAGATTTATGTCCGTTAAATGTGGGGATGATATCGCTCTAAGACGTTGGCGCACAAGTAACAGATTAATCTGGACGAGTTCATTGATGGATAGTTTTCCCCTCTTCATTACCAACATCATTCACTAAACTTCTTCAAGGGATGAAAGAAAAAAAAAACATTTTTTCATTCGCGAAGAATGTGCATTGGCATTTACAGGATTCAGGTTTGTGCTTGAAAGAAGGCTGTTTTTTTGGGTGGCGGTGATTGTGGATGGAGGCTGGATGGCGGCATAAATCTCGCGGTCTGCGCTCGTTCGTGTCAGGCGTGCCAACCGCACCAAACAACCGCAGCAGCATCCCCTTTCTTTATCATTTGCCGACTTGATAGGCTGCCAATAAATTATACAGGAGAGACACTTTCGCACCTTCCTGAATTTCTAAATTCCACTAAACTGGAATGCCCTGTGAGAGAAAAAAAAGTAAAAAACAATCTATATTTTGCGGCATGAAAAGTATATCAGGAAAAAAAAACATAGAAAACCTCTTTTAATCCTTTATTTATATTCCTACCATATTTTCAAAGATAAATATAATAATTACATTTGTAAATGCATATATTTTGAGTTTGAGAAAGAGTTTTGTGACAAAGTTGCTATATAAGCTATATAAAATAAATGCAAATTTGCAAACTTCGGTAAATATTGAACAATTTGAATGAATATTTGTTAAATTTCAAATGAAATAAAATATTACTTTCTCCCTCTTTCACATACAGTGCTCTGCAACCTATTCTCACCCACGGCACACCAATGCTGTACCTAGAATTCCGCGGAACACATCCTTTTTCTTGATTTAATTATGTTTATATGTTCATCGTGTTCAAAAGTTCCTCTGGCAAATTCTTGACCATTGTATTATCGGATTTTTTTGGACCGTTGAAAAATCACCTGTATTCGGCTCACGGCACACCAGTGTGCCGTGGCACACCGGTTACGGACTATAATTAAAGTATACAATATGAAATTCCGTCTTTTTATCGCACAAAAATATACAATATAGCTTTGTACATAATATAGAATTATGGGTTTGTATTAAGTTTTTCATATAAGATTTATATTTAATTATGTTTGCAAATATCTACATTATGAATTTACATTCTATTATGTATTTTTTTTATCGTTTATGAAAAATTTTCAACTTTTTTTGAATTCAAATAAAACGTCTAGTTTGCATGGTTTAGATATGTTTTGTTAAATGTCTTTGCTTGATAGTACTTTTTTTGCAAGTGAAAACTAGTATTCATGAATGGAACTTCTTTTGGGTTGATTTTCGATGAGATTGTTAGATATTGTCTGTAGATGTATGATTAAGATATGTTTTGTAAATATTTGGAAGCGAAGAATTGTTTTTTTTACAAAATTATAGTGTATTGTGTCTGTGAGGAGAGAGGTGGAGAGTTGAAAAGCTGTAGTGTTAGGAAAAGTAATTTAAAAATGTAATTAAACGTCGACGTGTACATTAATTAAGTGGCACGTAGAGTAATATCATTACAGTCCCCGAGGAATGAAATGTAAACATGTGCCTCGGGAGAGGTTGGGGAGTGGTGGTGAGGTGGAGAGGATAAAGAGGAGGAGGATGTGTGCCGTCGGCAAAAGGGTCCTTCTCAACCCTCCGACGGTCCAACAGAACGGAATAATTAATCGAAATATTAATTAAAACCAATTAATCTTCCGGAAGAAGGACCTTGCTTTTTTTCTACCTTTCTCCTTCTTGCTCCACCACCACCATCAACATTCAACCTCCTCCGGTCGCGAGACAAAAAAAAACCGCAATTACTTCGATGCCAAATCCCGGCGGAAACCGTATTATTCCATTTTTTTGCTATGCCCCCTCTCTCCTTCTCAAGCTTTAATCACGTTCCTACCATCATATCCATAGTACCTATTCGGAAATGGAAACCTCGAGCACTCGATACGCAAATACTGTATGTTGGCTGGCGTTTGGAGGTGGTTGAGGATGCAGATGAGAGACGAATGTGACCGTAATCTGACACCTGCCGCCTCCAATCTAATTTTGGAGGCGATTGCGGAAAGCTCGAGCTGAATGTCAAGAAGCTTCCGGTTTCGAAAATCCGCCGCCCCAAAACTTATCCCCTTGCGCAGAGAGCGCGTATTACACGATATTACTTCCGAAGAGTTTTATCGTTATGCAGAGAGAGAGAGAGAGAGAGGAAGAAAGAGCGCACAGAAAACAATTCCTAATGGCAATAATTGACAGACGTCGCATTTCGGTTGGCCGGGAAAAGTTCGCGGAAACGTGTATATCCTACCATCTCTAAACTTTTTGCAATTTTATAGTTTATTTGAAATTTGTTCCATTGTTTTCTTAATCAAAATAATAATCGTGAGAAGAAAAACGAGTTTCGTTTAATTTAATTTCAATTATGCAAATAATTTGTAATTAACACTTTGTCATATACTTATGCAGTATATAATTGATACAAATGAAATATATAAATATACAGTAAAACATAATTAATAAAAATGTCAGTTGATTAAAGTCATGTATTATACATTTATGTCGCATCTTATTCATATTGCATATGTTTGATTATTTCTATTGGTACTAATAAAAAAATAAGTAGTAGTTCACAAATGTCATATATCTGACATTTATATTACATTTTACGCATTTTCTATATGTTTAATTATTTCTATTTTCAATAATTAAAATGATTATGATGAAAATTAATTTAGAATATAAATTTATGTATGAATTAGTTTTCATTGAGTATTTACTTGTTATTTTTTACTATTTTATTTAAATACTTTTCTATAAGAATTAACAGCGGGATTTTCTAATGTTTTATTTTATTTTCAGGTAAGTCGGACGAGTTTGGTGATTTTATTATGGCACATTACTATTTCTAAATCGACATATAAAAATTGTGGTAAGAATATTTTTTTTAATTTTTTGAGTGATACTTAGGGTTAACTCCAAGTAGTAGCGCATAAATATGTAAGTTGATTGAACGTTTCTAATGGGTTTCGGGCAATCCCAGATGGAATACACAATTCAATCCGCAAACCTCTGGACTGTGAACGTCTCTCCAATTACGAACGCAAGCGCAAGTAGTGATGAGGGGGATTTTAGGGAGACGGTGGTGGATTGGTGAGGTGCGGTTGGTTTCGGGCTACGAATTTGATGCCATAATAGTTTACAAACTATTTCGTTCGCCCGACTAATGTAATTACATTAATATTATTATTAGTCTCGGAGTTAAATCAAAATTACTCCCAGGAATATCGTTGTTCGTTCATAGGAAGGGAATGATGGGTGTTGGGTGGTAGTTGAGGATGATGAGGAGATGAAGTCGAATTGCAAAGTTTTGATTCGTCCCCGATGTAATTATGGTGCCACTTCCAATGCCTTTTATATTCCACGGCTAAATGTTATTAAGACTTCCAATTGCTTTCCAAAACCATACTCCCTCCTTCAACTCCACCTCCTCATTCCGCCTTTAATGAAAGTGCTTCGTTTAATGACTAGTGCTTTATGACTACACTTTCTAATTAGGTTTGATGCTGCTTAACAGCATTATTCCAATCACAAATGTTGTCAATTAGCTAATTATTGTAACAATTGCATAAAGGTTTTAGACCAACAGTGATAATTTATTAAAAGATATTTAATAAAAACTATTACGTAAAAAGAATTAAATAGACACAACAAGAAATTTTCACATATAATTTTGTATTGCTATTATTTTGATATTGTTGTTCAGCTTATTTCAGTTTTTACTAAAAAATATTATGATAGATTTGAATACAAAAAGTGGATGTATAATAATTGTATAAAGATAATGATTAGATTTAACAATTTATAAATATTTTTTGTAGATTGTATATACTTTGGGTATTGTAGGAATGTAATTGAATTTGATATTGTGATGCAACAATGTTGAGTGTATTGCATTGAGTGAGACTGGCTAATGGAGTCGTCTTGCCTTAATCAATTACGTCGGAGATTTAAACGAATAATTAAATGATGTTACAGTGCGAGTGGAGGGTAGAAAGGTTATTAGAATAAAGGGATGGAGTCCAATTAAATCTGGAATGAATGAGCAAAAATTATTAATGCTGAAGAATTGAGTGGGGTGGAGGGATACAATAAACGTTTGCCCTTCCGATTTTACAAAGGTTCAAGGGGTGCATTATGAATTTATGTGCTTTAAAACCAGCTCCGTTCGTTCCCTTGTGTACGTGTTTTTATTG